TGCTATATTTTTTTTTTAAATGCATTCTATAAACACTTTAATAAATAAATGGATATGTTAATACATAATAAGAACAGCGTTTCTATACTACTTGAGCAATCAAGGCTTCCCCAAAGAATTCTGTGTTTTGTTAAGGATGTAGAGGATCATAGCTCTTGAAGGTTCTCTCAACAATTCTCAGCACCCTTAACAAACTACAGTTCCCAGGATTCTTGAGCAGGAAACAGGGAGTCATGATTATTAAAAGGGCATGAGAGTGCTTTCAATGTATAGAGTAGATGCGACTGTAAAATCTGCCAACACCTGTTCTCGAAGAACAGACTCATTCATAGCAGGAATGCCAAGATGTAATCCAGCCATCTGCTGTGTATTCAGTGATCAGGAAGCAGTTTCTAGAGACAAAACTATGGGCACAGGGAGAGTGCAAAGGGCAAACAGAGCTCTCCACTGCTGGTGTGAAGGTCAGTGCCTATTTCCACACATGCTGCATGTGAGTGATCAAAGGCTCAAATGCAGGAGCCATGTGCTAATAGCAGGATCAGCACACTGGGCTGGCCAAGACCTCACATGCAAAAGCATGAAGTTCTGAAGAAAGTTTCAGTAAAAAGATAAAAAGAAAAACTGCCCCTTTATTTTTTGGTTCCTCGTCTTTTTCAAAACATAGTTTCTTGAGGCAGGGATCTGTCCTTTTTGGTGGTTCACATTATTTTGAAAAGTATTTTGAAGCACAGAACAAGAACCAAAGTAAGGGAAATCATCACAACCATGCCACGGTTCACTCACAAGAACTACAATTGGGATAGGTATTAGGGGACATAGGAAACCAACTTATATAGAATCAGACTATTGGTCTGCCTAGCTCAGTCTTCTCTAAGCTGACTGGCAACAGCTCTCCAGGGTTTTAGGCTGGGGTCTCTTCCAGCTCTATCTAAAGATTTTGCGGACTGAACCTGGGGCCTTCTGCATGCAAAGCAGATGTTCTACCACTGAGCTGTGAACACAGCACAGGTACATAGGAAGCTGCTTTGTACTGAGTTGGCACAATGGTCCATCTAGCCCAGCGTTCTTGACACTGACTGCCAGTGGCATCTCCAATCAGATGCTCTACAGCACAGACCCATGGCTATGCAAAAATGTGCAGATCAGTGTTCGCAACTGTGCAGAGCACAGTCCACAGTACAAATCATTTTCATAGTTTTCTGTAAATCTCAGCAGAAGAAAGTTTCCAGTCCTCAAGAACATACAAAAAAAAAAAAAGTAATTGAAAATGAAATGGTCAACAAGCAAAAAGGGTCAGTGCTGTGCTTCTTAATAACTGGCCAATGGGCTACAAAGGACAGCTGGATCAAGTCAAAGGCCCATCTAGTCCAAGATCCTGTTCTCACATCCAAACCAGATCCCCAGAGGAATCTTGAAAACTAAGTTTGAAATCAAAGCCCAGCCTTGGTTTTGCTTAGGTGGTTTTGGACTAGTGTCCCCTGAACTCAGTCTGCCAGAATGGAAATATTGGATTATCTGCTTCATAATAGAAAATAATTGTGGAGAGGTCGCACCCACACCATACATTGGGAGGCCTAGCTACACCGCAAAATATCCAGGGAAGTGCAGTTGGTGAAGGGCGCTGGGAACTGTAGATCCCTGACAGGGTAAATTAGTTCCCAGGATTCTTTGCACTGGGTGTTTTAAATGCATCGTGTGCGCGCAGCACAGGTAGACAGGCGTGCAGGCAGGTGGCTGCATTGTAAGGGGTCTGCAAGCCTTAGAAGGCGCTTATGGGGGGTGGAGAAATGGAAAGGGGTCCTGCAAGGGATTCGGGGAGCATGGGCTGGCTGGGTGAACAGGGGCTGGCGATGCGGGGCAAGGGGCAGCACGCGCACCTGTGGGGCGCCCTGAGGGAAGGAGGTCAATTCCAGAAGCGACGTGGAAGCACAATGGGGGCGGGGAGACCATGTGGGGCTGGAGGGCGGGAATAAGGCGACGGTGGGAAGGGAGCGGGGGCTGAAGGGGAGCCCCGGAAGTTGAAGGGTCATTCAGGAGGAATGAAGAGTTGGTGGTCTTCGGTGGGGAGGGAGGGAAGCCATTCTGAAAACAGCCCTCCCCGCACGCCCTACCCCGCATAGCCGCCACCCCGCAAGTGAGCCTCGCTCTCACCTCCCTACTGCTGCCGCCGCCGCCATCTTGGAACCCGCTTCACTCCCCCCTCCCGCCGAGGGTTATCAGCCCCACCCCGTCCCCACCGAGGCTTCTTATTGGATCCCGCGGCATGAGCCCGCCCCTTCGCTTCTCGAATCGGCCGGCCGGCCGCTCCGCCGCTGGTCCCTCCCACTCGCTGTTGCATTATTCATGAGCGGGCTTTCCCGGCGCGTGCGTACACCGGAGGCCGCTAAGGCACGGCGGCAAAGGCACGTTTCCCGGGAGCGGGGGATGGGGGCAGGCAGTGCTCGGACGCCTGGGTCACGAAGCTTCGGTGCCTGGATCCTATTGTGAGATAGGAAACTCGAACGCCTGGGTCCCGTCCTGGGGAATGAACGTCAGGGATCCGATTCTGAGAAAGGAGTCTTGGACTGGTCCTGGCCCCTTTCTGAAATCTTAGAAAGTGAGCAGTAGGATGTGTGTTCATCTAGCCAAAAACGAGAAGCCAGCTGTCCCCCACCGCAATGCCCCAAACCCAACGGAGCTATTTTTCTTTTGAGGGCTTATACTACACTCTGTTCATTTGGGGCTGTATATATCCTCTTTTATTCCAACACGCATCTCCCTTCGAATGATTTAGTCAAATAAAATTTTTAAAAGCTAAAGACCTACCCCTTTAACAGTCGTGGCTTCTCCAACCCCAAACCCTGGAAACTGCAGTTTATCCTTAGGAGCTACAATTCCCAACACCCTTAAATTACAGTTCCCATTATTATTCAAGGGAAGCCATGCGGCTTAAATGTACAGTGTGGATATGGCACCAGTCATCAGTTAACAGGATCAGGTAGCTGGCGATGGCGAGAGGGCCATAGCTCAACAGCAGAGCACCTGCTTCGCATGCAGAAGGTCCCAATAATTCAGTCATTAGTGTCTCCATGTAGGGCTAAGAATTTACCCCGAATTAAACCCTACAGAGCTGCTGCCAATAAGTTTGACATGGTAAAAGCCGCACTGAATTCTAAGCTATCAAGAAAGGCAGTGCGGTGTAGTGATTAGAGTTGAGGTGACCTTGTGGCCTTCCAGGTGCTGATGAACTGCAACTTCCCTGTTACCTGTACTCCCTGGGGCTGATGAGAGCTAAAGCCCAATGACACCTAGAGGGCAACACATCCCTGGGTAAGAATGTCTTAAGAAGGTAAGACACACCCGCTAGATGAGGCCATTGACCCATCTAGTCCAGCATCCTGTTCTCTCAGTGGCCAACCAGAAGCCTGTGGAGAACCTGAAAGCAGGACATGAGCACAACAGCACTCTGTCCACCTGCGAGGGATCTGATCAGTCAGTGTGAACAGGAGGCTGGACTTCGATGAGACAATGGCCTGATGCTGCAGGGTTCTTATATGTTTGTTTGTTTGTATATATACTGGGACGCAGGTGGCACTGTGGGTTAAACCAGAGCCTAGGACTTGCTGATCAGAAGGTCGGCAGTTCGAATCCCTGCGACGGGGCGAGCTCCCGTTGCTCAGTCCCTGCTCCTGTCAACCTAGCAGTTCGAAAGCACGTCAAAGTGCAAGTAGATAAATAGGTAGGAAGGTAAACGGCGTTTCCGTGTGCTGCTCCAGTTCGCCAGAAGCGCCTTAGTCATGCTGGCCACATGACCCAGAAGCTGTACGCCAGCTCCCCCAGCCAGTAAAGCGAGATGAGCGCCACAACCCCAGAGTCGGTCACGACTGGACCTAACGGTCAGGGGTCCCTTTACCTTTATGTATATCTACTACATATTTTGGACAGTTCTTTGTTGTTATGGACTGGCTGGACACAAAGGAATGGCGGGAGAAACCAGATGGAGAAGCACCAAGGGGAGAAGGATCAGAACTTGGGGAATGGGGAGTGGTGGTGGGATAACAATGAGTAGTAGCCCAAAGGAGAAGACTGGGAAGAGGAGGTGTCAGAAGCCAAAGAGGTAACAGGGCCTAGTGAGCTGGAGAGTCTGTGTCAGAGAGAAGTCTGGAATCAGAGGCAGAAGCTGAAGCAGGAGGGTGGGAGGAGAGAGGTCAAGGGTGTCTCCCACTCCTGCTGCGACAAGCTCTCCTCCCTGCCTCCCAGAACCAGAAGAGACATGAAAAGGGTGGAGAAAGGATTGGTGACGCATAGTCGCCATCGCCAATTGCTTGGGGAAAACCCTGGAGAGGAGGGGACGTAGGCAGCTGTGGGGAGGCGGGGACCTTTAGTCTCAGCAGCTGCTTCATGGAGGCAAGATCTACTGGAGATGAGTTGCTCATTAGGCCTGACACTCCTGTGCAGATTGTGTTTTTGCTAATAAAGAGTTAACTCCAACTTGCAGAGTGTGATTTACTGCTGGCTCGCTCTGCATTTTGAACACCTCTTAAAATACCATAACCAAATTTTGCACAATGCTTCCCGAGATCAAGGAACAAGTTTTTCTCTGTGTTTGGACAGGTTTTTTAAATCAAGATGGCAAACTGAACCTTTTGAAACAGCACTGATTCTAACCGCAGATCACAAAATTGCACTGATCCTCTTTGGCTTCCTAAACCCCTGAGCAAACCCAGGTGGAAGGCTGCTGGTGTTCTTTCGTTGGCTGGAATTTGTCATTTAATTATGATGATTATTTTTTACAAATGACAAAGAATTTGCAGGAACACTGTTTCTGGACAAAGTGCCAGTGCTGTGTGAGCTGCTCTTTGTATGCCAAGCCAGCTGCAGAGTCATATAAGCTCCTTTTCCTTTTTTTAAAAAGAAATTGAAATTTTGCTCAACCACATTGTTGCAACTGCTTATTTCGCCATCCAGATGGAAATTCTCTTAGCCCTCTGTCTCTAACTGAAAAAGCAAAGGGACAGAAGTTCCTTCTTCACTTTTTTATTATTTAGAAAACGGTTTAACCCATCACCTCCCACAAAAACCACCCAACTGGGCTGTGATGATGCAAAAGCAGAAAGGCCAGCAACCCTCCAGCCCTGCTGAAAATGACTGACAGCAAGAACCCCGTGCTACACATGACCTCTTTGTAGCACTTGAATCGTCCCTGAAAAGGAAAGTAGTAATTGCCCAGACGGCATTTAGGCACAAGGAGGTCAAGCAGGACTCTTGTCACACACAAGCGGAGCTCTGGTACCAATAGGGGGACATCTCTCTTTGGACTGGCTATATAGATCAGTGCTCAAGTATGCATGGATAAGTTTAGGCAAGTTCTGGCATTATGGTCAGTTGTTCCCACACAACAGCATCAGAAACCTTCTGGAGAAGAGCCCTCAGTTTTGTAAGATAAGCTGGCCACATCTGTTTATGCAAAGTGTTGTATCCAAGTGCTACTCAGAGAAGGCCCACTGAAATCAAAGTTTCAATGAATAGGACTTAGCTGGCTACAACCCCATGTGGCAAACCCCCATCACAGGAATTGTAGTAGGGGACAATCAATGGCCAGCTCAGAGCCACTCTAAGAAGCAGCCCAACAGGCAAATGGCTTCACCTGCCCAAATCCTTACTTTAGTGAATCAGTCTGGGGAAAACACTCTCATGTCAAGCAAGGCAGTACTGACTGGGCCCTGCTCGTGTTGAAACATTTGCATTTTGGGCCCACAGAAGAGCTCTGCATAACCCAGAAACATGAGTCTTCCAAGTTATGCAGAGCTCTTCAGGAGGGCGACATTTCATCAGCTCTGTGTAACTAGAAATATTTGCACATTCTTATACCCACTCACCAACTGAGTAGCCCAGTGAGTGATTATTGCTTAATCTATTTGTCCTTTATTACGGGGAAATGGGTTTGGGTTTGTTTGCAGGGAGGGGCGGTTTGCACCAGAATTTATTCACCAATCTTCCCTCCTTGCCCCCTCCCCATTCTTGTGCATTTAGGAATGTGTACCTGCTCAGCGATTGTAACCTCCGTGGGAATCTTAACAGATTTCCAGATCATAGCAAGACATTGAGAAACCAGCCATATACGACCATAGGAAGTGAGCTAACAGATCTGGAAAAACAAGATAGAGAAATGCAAAAGCTTCAGGCATTCTCCCCTCAGGCTACCTGGATATGGCCATGTCAACTGACACTGACAGCCATATCACATGGCACACAGCAGAGTACACAAGACTGTGTCCATACTGGTACCATCTGGCTTTAACCGAGGCCTCTGACCCTCTCAAGTGCCAGGTCATCCTGGCAACTTCTCTACTTGCTGCATGTTGTGTTTTTGAAGCAACATCTCATGGCTTACAACTGCATTTTCAGCTCACACTTTGTAGGTCCTTCTGCAAACTAAGCTGCCAACACCAGCTGGGGTGGCATCACATCGAAGCTGAGGATACAGATGAGGCCTGGGAAAGAAGGACCTTCTGTTCCTTCTTTCTCATGACAACCCCCACCTACTGCACACCTGGACAAGTCATATGACAGTTTTCCCTTTGCTTACAATCAAAAGCAGTGTTTTAAAAAGGCAGGAAGGCAGGATGTTCCCTCCCCTGACAGTGGCAGGCGGGCTGACCAATCCCACAGGGCAAAAACACCAAAAGGGGCGCTAGATCTGGAAGCGCCCCGAGAGCAGCCCCAGCCGGTCAATGTTTTTATGCAGGACACTGTGCAGAACGCAAAGGTATTTGCCAATGTCGGTGTCTCTGCTGAAGTCCCGGAAGAAGAGTCCTGTGCCAGCGTTGAAGGTGAACTTCTGCGGCAGCGGGCTGTTGTCGCGCATGTAGTCCCAGACGCTGAGGAGCAAGAGGTGGACCTCAAAGGGCGCCAGCTGGTCAAAAATCTCATGCATGTTGCTGAGCACGGGCGGGAGGAGGTGGCCCTCGCCCATGCAGGCCACCAGGGCGCAGGAGGCCTGCAGGTGCCAGGGGGAGCTGGTGGTGTCGTTCTCCCGCGAAGCCTCCCAGTGCGCCATCAGAGTCGCCAGGAGGCCGCGGAGAAGCACCGAGCAGTAACAGAGGGCCGGCCTCCCCGCCGCCACCAGGCTAAGCAGCTGGAAGAGCAGGGGGTTGTCACGGAAAGCCCTCCCGATCTGGATGTCCCGCTCCACTGTGTTGCGGGTGTGCTCCTCCGGAGGCCACGCCAACTCGCTGTTGGTGATGTCAGGGCAGACGGTCTCCACCAGCACCACCGCCACCGTCTTCGCCGCCTCGGGGCTGACGGCAGCGTGCTGGGAGGGCTCCAGGCTGCAGCGCTCAGTTCCGCAGCACCGCAGCAGCAACCCCAGGAAGGTCTGGACGTTGTGGGAGACCTCCTCCGGCTCTCGTTGGTAGGGGGCGTGGGGCGGCTTCAGGCCCCTCCCAATCACGCCGGCATGGAAGACAGACCACACACTCCCCGAGAAGTTCACCGCGGCCATAAATCGCCGGTTGATATCCAGCAGGGAGACCTTGGTGCCTTCCAGGGCGGCAGGGTCGTTCCCGACTGCAGGAGGCTCGGGCAGCCCACCAAAGAGCTCGGCGTTCCCTGGGTGCAGGGCCCCCTCCACCAGGTACTGAAGTATGGCCTTGCCAGCGGTGGGCGAAGCCCCGCTGAGGCAGCAGAGGAGGCGGCTTCCGTAGCTGATGCCCGTGGGGCACTTGCAGCGCAGCACTAGGAAGAAGTGGTGGACGGCTGAGCGGATGAGGAAAAGGAGGTGAGCCGGCCGGATGGCCTTTGGCATGGGGCAGACGGAGAGCAGCAAGGCCGCCACCTGGGCCACCTCCGGGTTGCAGTGCAGCAGGAGCTGCCCGAAGTCATAGAGGTGCGCCGCGACAGCCTCACCCAGCTGGTGGCCCATGGAGGCGGGGCCCTCACTCTCCCTCTGCATGATCAAGGCCAGGTTCTGGAAGAGCTGAGCCATGTGCTGCTCCGAGAGGCCGCCAGCGTGGATCTGGCACACGCACTTCTTCACGGTGGCCGGCAGCAGGTCGCTCATGCAAGAGCTGAGCACGGCGTAGAGCTGAGTGGCCAGGCTGAGCTCCTCCTGGCTCTTGGCCAGCGTCAGCAAAAAGAAGAGGGCCTCGCTGGCGCAGCTGGGGGTGCAGTAGACGGAGAGGAGGACCAGCAGCTGGTGCTGCCAGAGGAACCTCTTCCTCTCCAGCCGGAGCGTCTCCACGCACAGCTCCCGCACGTGGCCCTTCAGCTCGTCCAGGAAAGGCACCGGCCGCGGAGGGGCCTCCGCCAAGCTGGCCGAGCCCCGGTTGTACACCAGTTTCTGGAGGTTGAGCAGCAGCAGCTGGATGACACGGTCGCAAGCCTCCCGCACGCTGTCGTGGACGGCCAGGCCTGGGGTGGTGATGACAGAAGCCGGCATGGCTGTGTTGATGAGGAACTGCAGGGTGCGGTAAGCTCCTCCCGACGTCTGGCAGATGAGGTGCACCACGATGCTGACCATGTTCTCCAGGTCCTCCCGAGGGAGCGAGGCGAAGTGCTGGTGCAGCTGGTTGAGCACGCCTGGCTTGAGGGAGTCCACCAGCTCGGCCGAGATGGTGCCCAGCAGAGTGGGAGACATGACGGCCAGCTGGAGCAAGAAGGGCACAGTGGCCTTCTGCTGCTGGTCCCGCGTGGGGCCCAGGCTCCCATGGAACATCCTTAGCAGCTCTTGCTTGATGCTCTCGGAGTGGCGGGAGGCCAAGTGGCCCAGGATGCCCACCACCGAGGCGATCTTGGGGACCCTTTTGTCTGCTGCTGTAGCGCTAGGGAAGAGGAGGAGGTCGGCCGAGGCCGTGCCGTGCATGCAGAAGTCCTTCAGCCCGCAGGAGAGCACGCGGTTGATGATCGTGTTGGGGAAGGACGAGCCGATGTGGGCCACCACCCAGTCGAAGTGCGGAGAGTGCTGGACCGAGGTGTCCAGCAGGGCGTCCACGCAAGCGTCCGGGCAGGTGCTGATCATGGAGGAGAGGCACTGCGTGTAGATCTCCATCAGCGTCCGAGTCGCCTTGCAGGACATCCACAGCTGCAGCAGCTCGTTGAGGCTGCTGGCGTGGGGCACGCCATGCCGGCCAGCATACTTGCTGCTCAGCTGTCCCATCAGGTCGATGGACCAGGCCGAGACCAAGCCTGCCCACGCCTTGGGGTTCATGCGGACGAACTCGGACAGCACGGCCTGGATCTCTTGCACCACGTCGTCCAGGTTGGGACCCTGGGAGCGGATGGAGCCCAGCCCACCCTCGCTGCTCTCCAGGTCCAGCAAGTAGGTGCACACGTACTCATCAAAGACACCCCGGAGGTGGTCCAGGACGGCACTGCGAGCAGGTGGCAGACTGCGCAGCAGCAGGATGGCGCATCGGGCATGCTCCTTCAGGGTGAGTTTGTTGCCGTGCAAAGGGTCTACACCACTAAGGAAGGCCTTGATTTCCTGGGCCAGCTCTTGCGAACTGCAGGAGGCAAAGGAAAAAGAAGGAAACAGAGCATCATTCCTGGGTCAATGTTCCTAAACAAGACTGTTTTAAAGTGGTATGATACTGCTTTAAATGTGTAGTGCAGGTGGGGCCTTAATTTGCTTGCAAGGGCTTACTCCAGGCATAGGCAAACTCAGTCCTCCGGATGTTTTGAGACTACAATTCCCATCATCCCTGACCACTGGTCCTGTTAGCTAGGGATCATGGGAGTTGTAGTCCCAAAACATCTGGAGGGCCGAGTTTGCCTATGCCTGGCTTACTTTATTACCATCTCACAACAGAAACTAGGTTAATCACCATGTGTTCCCACAGAGGCCTTTCTCTCCCTTTTCAATTCTCGCTCCCCCCATCCAGCTTGAAAAAGTGTTCTGTTTAATTCATAAGCTCCAGTCCACTTTAAGAACAATGGCTGGTGTTAATGATTTTTAAAATTTGCTTTAAAATGTGATTTGCTAAATATCTGAACTTATGCATGTGTCTTTTCACAAGAAAAACATGACCAGGTTAGGGGAAAGTTGTCTCCAGTGGTGAGAGCTTCTTTTCAAAAATTATTCTGTAATTATTAGCCTTGAGTCTGATCCAGCATGTTAACATAGGAAGCTCCCTTATACCAGTTCAAATCCTTTCTCCATCTAGCTCAGTATTGGTTACACTGACTGGCAGTAGCTCCAGGGCTTCAGGCAGTTCTTCTCAGCCCTGCCTGGAGATGCTACTGGGTACGGAATCTAGTACTTTCTGCGCTCAAAGCAGATGCTCTGCATCCAGTCCTACTTCCCATCCCAAGGCACCCTATCTGTCACTTCTGAATTTCCCAACAAGCCTTATAGATTTGCAGAGTTGGAAGGGACCCCACGGGTCATCTAGTCCAACCCCCTTTGCTGTGCACAATAGTAGCCGCAACTTCACCCAAAATGCACATAAATGGTACATATGCTTTCCCTGTGTTAACCCTCCCTGCTACCACTTCTCTTCGGATTTTAGACTGCATGCTCTCTGAGGCAGGGACCTCTGTAAAATGTCGCAAGTGTAATTATTCCTTTCCAGAGCCACCAGAGCAAGTGACCATCAACACACCCTCTGTTCAAAGATGAGGGGACTGGCTGGTGCCAGCGTAAAGGGGATGTCCTAGTCCCTTACAGGTGGCAGGGAGGAGAGAGAAGAGGTAAGAGAATCAGTACCTGAGCGATGGAGAAGCAGCTGCTGGTTTGGGGCTGGGGGTGGACCCCGGATGCCCTGCCACCCCTGGGGGATCGCACAGAGCAGACATACCGCCCAGGGGGAGAAAAGCTGCAGAAGAACCAGTCCCTTTGTCCCCCCTACTTCCCTTCTGCGCCTGCGCGCGGTTGAGTGGCGTTGAGGGAAGCATACAAACAGCACACAGAAAGGGCCCCCTTGGAAAATAGTTCCGTGCAGGCCTGCCGTCCCTTCAGATTAGTGTTCCACTTTCCGTTATAAAGCTTGGCACCCATGGAAGGCAAGGACTGTGTCACTCTTTGCTGTAGCCGGAGGACCGTTCCTCAATTGCTTTGACTTGCCAATTGCCAGTCAGAATGGTTTTTTGCTTCTTTTATAGGGCAGTTGCCAAAACTGAGGTGTATGTGTCACCTGTTAAAAAAAAAAGAAGAAAAATTGTGGCACCTTAAAAGCCCAACAGGTTTTTTTTAATTACATGATCTGTTTTTAGTATTATCATTAATCATCATTATCACCATCATCATGAAAGTGAATGACACATTCTCACCCTCCACACCCCCCCCCCGGTTTATACCAGTCCTTTCAGATTTCTGTACAAATACAAGGGAAAACAAAAGACTAAGTACAGTAATCAATTAACCAGGAAGGGAAAGAAGCAGGCGGCAGAGTAACAAAACAGATCCCTGACCTCAAGGGCCTCAAACGGGGAAACAAATGGGGTAGGAATATACGTTTCGTTGACTTACACCATTTAAAAATAATTCTGAAAATCAAAAGGTGTGGGGGCAACTTTTCACGCAGGCTTTGGGCCTGTAATTTGAAAGGTGTCATTATGACTTCTTTTGGACCAGGGGTAGTCAACCTTGTTATACCTACCGCCCACTAATGCATCTTTTTCGATGGTAAAATTTCCTTGCTGCCCACCAGTGCTCGATGGAAGGAGGGTTCAGCTTGTGCCATAGAACCCCCTGCTGCCCACCTAGAATCCTGAAACGCCTACTAGTGGGCGGTAGGGACCCTGTTTTAGACGGACCAGTGGAATGCAACTTATGAACATAAGAAAAGTCCTGCTGGATCAAAGGTCCATCTAGTCCAACATCCTGTTCTCATGTCTAAAGCAGATGTCCATCAGAAGCTGCATTCAAAATCACCGTGCAGCCACAAATTTGTTTGGGGGTCCTGGGCTAGTGTCTCTTGAACTCGGTCTGTCAAATGGAGATATTGGATTACCTGTCTCATAATAAAAAATAATTGCAGAGATGGATAACATCCACACTATACATTTAGAGTACACGGCTCTCCCCAAAGAATTGGGGGTGGGGAGAGGTTGGACTAGATGACCAATTGAATTGCAAGGAGCGGAACTAGATGACTGTCAGGGTCCCTTCCAACTCTACAATTCTGTGATTCTAAGAATCCAGGGAAGTGCAGTTGGTTAAGGGTGCTGGGAACTGTAGATCCCTGACAGGGTAAATTAGTTCCCAGGATTCTTTGCACTGGGTGTTTTAAATGCATCGTGTGCGCACAGCACAGGTAGACAGGCGTGCAGGCAGGTGGCTGCATTGTAAGGGGTCTGCAAGCCTTAGAAGGCGCTTATGGGGGGTGGAGAAATGGAAAGGGGTCCTGCAAGGGATTCGGGGACCATGGGCTGGCTGGGTGAGCAGGGGCTGGCGATGCGGGGCAAGGAGCAGCACGGGCACCTGTGGGGCGCCCTGAGGGAAGGAGGTCAATTCCAGAAGCGACGTGGAAGCACAATGGGGGCGGGGAGACCATGTGGGGCTGGAGGGCGGGAATAAGGCGACGGTGGGAAGGGAGCGGGGGCTGAAGGGGAGCCCCGGAAGTTGAAGGGTCATTCAGGAGGAATGAAGAGTTGGTGGTCTTCGGTGGGGAGGGAGGGAAGCCATTCTGAAAACAGCCCTCCCCGCACGCCCTACTCCGCATAGCCGCCACCCCACAAGTGAAGCCAGCTCTCACCTCTCCGCGGCTGCCGCCGCCATCTTGGATCCCGCTTGACTCCCCCGTCTCGCAGAGCGCTATCACCACCGAGGCTTCTTATTGGATCCGCGGCATGAGCCCGCCCCTTCGCTTCTCGAATCGCCCGGCCGGCCGCTCCGCCGCGGGTCCCTCCCACTCGCTGTTGCATTATTCATTACCCTGTTAACCTTTCAGGTGCCGCAAGACCCCTTTGGAGTTGTTTTATTTGACACACAGTACAAGTTCACAGGGACTTACTCCCGTGATTTGAGGGGGTTCCATTCTATTGATATGTCAACTAAGCGCCAGCACTTGGGCTGGTGGCAATCAACTTGGTAAGCAGCTCCCAACTTGGTAAACAGTTGCTACACTCCCTCCTTTTCTAAACTAAGGTAAAGGGACCCCTGACCATTAGGTCCAGTCGTGGCCGACTCTGGGGTTGCGGCGCTCATCTTGCTTTATTGGCCGAGGGAGCCGGCGTACAGCTTCCGGGTCATGTGGCCAGCATGACTAAGCCGCTTCTGGTGAATGAGAGCAGCGCACGGAAACGCCGTTTACTTTCCCGCCGGAGCGGTATCTATTTATCTACTTGCACTTTGACGTGCTTTCAAACTGCTAGGTGGGCAGGAGCAGGGACTGAGCAACCGGAGCTCACCCCGTCGCAGGGATTCGAACCGCCGACCTTCTGATCAGCAAGTCCCAGGTTTAACCCACAGCACCACCCGCGTCCATTTTTCTAAACTACTGTATAGTAAATTATAGATTTCAGATTTCCTTTATTTTTGATCCAGAGACCTCCTTCCAATAACCCATAAACATGTTGTTCCCCACCACCACTATAAACACACAAAGAGCAAGGACGAAATTAGAAGCCAGGACACAGAACTGGTTTTCTGCTATTTTATTGGGACAATATTTCAACCCTGGAACATCTGCCAAAAATTGTACCCCAAAATTAGGCTTGGGGGGAAAGCCTTCTATATTGGTGCCAAACAAAGACTGCTTTCCAGCATTTCCAGTTATTGCACAGGAGGGTGAGAGATCTTTGAGCAGAAAATGTCCCTCCTCAGCTGTAGTCTCCATTAAGTGCACACACTCCCCAAAATGCTTTACCCTCAATAAGCCCCATAGCTGGTGGGGGGGGGAATGATAGAAGTGTGCACAGTATCCATGGTATGCATTTCACCAACTCACTTTTGTTTTGACACCCCACCCAACATCAACATGCAATCCTCAGAGAGAGAGAAATGTTCCTCACCCTTACTTTTAGTTTAGGGATGGGGAATTTGGGCCCCTCTAGAAGTTGTTGGACATCAACTCCCAGCAGCCCCCATCAAGATGGCCAAAGGCCAGGGGATGATGGGAGCTGTAGTTCAGCAATATCTGGAGAGCCAAAGGAACTAGACAGTTGCAGCCTGTCTAGCAAACCTCTCAAGACTATGTGTGTTTTTAACGGAAATCTAGCCACATCAAAGTCCATGGGGTTAAAGAGCTTCCAAGCCCAATCCTTATGACTTTCCTGGTTCTGCAGCCATGGATGGCCTTTGCTGCTAACCCCAGAGTTCTGCCAGCAGGCAACGAAAGAGAGTGAAGAGACTGAGCTTTAAGACTGCAAAGGAAGATCTGAGCTCCCTGGTTCTGCTGCAGGCTCCACTTCTGCCATCTCTATATCTGGGCCAGCTGTTTCCCCCCCATTCTTCTTCTTCTTCTGCCGCTTGCCACTCTGGGCATTTTTATTTGGAGCTGGAGAAAGGTCAACTGCAATACGGAGAGAGAAAAGGAACTTTAAAAACAGTAGCTCAGTGGTACAGCAACTGCCATTACAGTGGTACCTCAGGTTACATACGCTTCAGGTTACATACGCTTCAGGTTACAGACTCCGCTAACCCAGAAATAGTACACAAACCCCAGTTTCTAAAAGCTGTAATTTCTAAAAACAATAAAACTATCCATAAACAGACAATCAATTTTCATCCATGACCTCCTTGAACAAAACATGTATTCAATGGGTACCCAAAAAACATGAGATAAAGCGCCCACCTGATTTAAGCCAATCATTTATATCCAGAAGGCTGGAACTGCAACATTAAAAGCTAAGTATACCTATGAGAACAAGCTACTCCTCTGAGCAGTCCCCATTTGAGCAGCAACATTGCCTGCTCTCTGGATCAACAAAGGTAGGAGTGGACAAACCGTGGCCTTCTAGTTATTACTAGATTGGACTGCCACTCCAATCACCCATGACTGTTGGCCATACTTGTTGGGGCTGATGGGGATTGGAGCCCCATTCCTATTTTGCACCTCTGTCGGTGCCTTTCATATGTAATCCCAGGTTGGCTGGGACATGTGTCAAGGACTGGGGTGCAAAGTCTGTGGCACTCTGGATGTCGCTAGTCTCCAACTCCCATCACCTCTGATGTTTTGGGCCATGATATCTAGTACTGATGGGAGTTGGGGGGGGCAATGAGATCCCTGTTAAAAGGAGGCTTCATATATTCATAACTAATCAGGCTGTACACTATCTAAATCTCTTCTTTGATAGCACCACTTCAGAGTGTAAGTGGGGCTCCCATCTTCCTTACCCTCACCCCCTGGAAACAAAACATAATAATTCCTGCATGCAGAAAACCAACACGCCCAGAAAGTGGACTCAGCTAAATCCTTTTCTACTGTACAGGGACAGGGTCATTCAAATATGCAAGCACCCCTTCCAGAACCTAAAGTGGCAAAATCCAAGAAAAGTCCCACCCATGACATCTGTTGAATGCATAAAATGGTCCATGGCCCCTAAGCGTTTCAGTATTTAAAATACTGATTTAAGGCTTCCCTGCTTAAGGGACCAGGGTAGGAGGTGGGGGAGAACTGAAGGACTGGCCCTAAAAAAATGCTTACCCTGCATTTCTGTCTTCTCCTTTGTGGAATGGCGGATTTGCTTCAGCAGTTTCCTTTTCTTTTTCCCAGAGAGGGTAATGTTCGCTCGGGAGCTAGAACTGGAGAGGGAAATGGCAGGGAGGTGGTGATGCGCAAAGAGGAGAAGTTTGGGTTTTTAAACCACGCATTGCTGGATTGCAATGTGCTTTAAAATGCACGGCACAGATGTGACCCCCAGCCAAATAGTAGTAGTAGTAGTAGTAATAATAATAATAATAATAATAATAATATAATTTTTATCTATACCCCGCCCTCCCCAGCCAAGGCTGGGCTCAGGGCGACTAACAAGCAATAATAAAAACAAGTTGAATGAATAAAACTTAAAAACAATATTAAAATACAACATTAAAATATTGAAACATTAAATATTAAAATGCAGCCTCATCACAGGAGGAGAAAGGAAAAGAAAAAAGAAAGAGGGGGAGGGAATCAAATTGGCTCCAAGCCAAAGGCCAGGCAGAACAACTCTGTCTGACAGGCCCTGCGGAAAGAAATCAGATCCTGCAGGGCCCTGGTCTCATGAGACAGAGCGTTCCACCAGGCCGGAGCCAGTGTTGAAAAGGCCCTGGCTCTGGTTGAAGCAATCTAACTTCCTTAGGGCCTGGGACCTCTAGGGTGTGGCTATTTATGGATCTTGAGGCTCTCCGTGGGGCATACCGGGAGAGGCAGTCCCGTAGGTATGAGGGTCCCAGGCCGTGAAGGGCTTTAAAGGTCAAAACCAGCACCTTAAATCTGACCCTGTACTCCACCGGCAGCCAGTGCAGCTGGAAATGCACTGGGTGAATATGCTCCCATGGCAGAGACCCCATGAGGAGCCTCGCTGCAGCATTCTGCACCCGCTGGAGTTTCTGGGATAGCTTCAAGGGCAGCCCCTGGAGGTGGTCAAGCCTGGAGGTGACCGTCGCATGGATCACTGTGGCCAGGTCGGGGCAGGAAAGGGAATCCTTTCCACTTTTCTTGGAAGTATGACAGAAAAAAACCAAGCAATCCAGCTTACACTCTCCCCACTTTTCTAGATTCTAGTCCCCATGCCCATCTCAAGGCTGGGAGCAGGACTAGGCACTACTTTCCTCCAAATTATCCTAATGACCACACTCTGATTTCTTCATTGGTTTCTCAGTGGGTGAACTCTCCCAGAGCTTCCAAGGCAAAGCATAACTCACCAGCGTTTCTTTAGGTGATGAATGGTGATGAGCCCCTCATCCACCACAGCACCTACAATCCGGTGTTTCTTCCTCTTCTGCTTGCTAAGGACGCGGCGCCTTTTGAAAAGGTTTTTCTGTAGCTCCTAAAATAGAGAGAAGTCACCATCTCAACAACATCCACTTGGCCTCCATGAATTTGCCTGATCTTTAGTTGGAGGTTCAATTTCAGATGTATGCTGTTTCTGTTTTGAACTGTTTTTAATGTACAGTGGTACCTCAGGTTACATACGCTTCAGGTTACAGACTCCGCCAACCCAGAAATAGTGCTTCAGGTTAGGAACTTTGCTTCAGGATGAGAACAGAAATCGTGCTCCGGCGGTGCAGCAGCAGCAGGAGGCCCCATTAACTAAAGTGGTGCTTCAGGTTGAGAACAGTTTCAGGTTAAGAACGGACCTCCGGAACGAATCAAGTACCCGTATTTTTCGCTCTATAACACACACCCGACCATAACACGCACGTAGTTTTTAGAGGAGGAAAATCCATAGGCATGCCACCCGTAGGCATTCCCTCCATAACACGCACAGATATTTCCCCTTACTTTCTAGGAGGAAAAGTGAGTGTTATGGTGCAAAAAATACGGTACTTAACCCGAGGTACCACTGTATTTAGTCCTACAAGCAGGGTGTTTTTTTCTTACCAGAGAAGCATTCAAGAACAGGACATCCACACCAACCTATGACCACAATTCAATGTTGGATCCACACAGGGCAGCAGAACAAAAGGGGAGAATAATAATAATAATAATAATAATAATAATAATAATAATATATTATTTATACCCTGCCCATCTGGCTGGGTTTCCCCAGCCACCCTGGGTGGCTTCCAACAAAACACTAAAATACAATAACCAATTAAATGCAGTATAATAGATTATACTACAACACTTGAGACTGATGGTTGAGGGTATTTTTAAAAGCTCAGCTTCAACAACCATCCTCACAAGTAAAAAGCTAGCACACAAGGAAGAAGGATGGCCTTCAGTTTATCTTCCCTGTGCATTAGTTTTCAAAAGGCAGGAAATCTGAAACTAGGCATGCTTTCAAAAAAGACATCACACACCAAATGCAGCTCACTCTACCACCTTACGACTCTTCCCATTTCATATGCTGCTTTTTTAAAGGGAGGGCCTGGAAGACCAGGGTTCAAAACCCTACTCTGCCATGAAACTCACTGGGGCCAGTCAGTCTCTCAGCCTAATCTACCTCAAAGGGTGGGTGTGAGGAAGGGAATCACGTATAGCACCTTAAGCTCCTTGGAGTAAAAAAAATATTATTTTTTTTCCATGGGATGCAAATGTGATAAACAAACAAACCAGAGATAGGGGAGCCTGTGGCCCTCCAAGCCCCTGCTCAACTTGAACTCCCACAATCGCCAATCGCTAGCCATACTAGCTGGTGCTGACGGGAGGTGGCGTCCAACAACATCGGAGAGGCCGCGGGCTCTCCCTCCCTCCGCTAGACTAATGCTAGACATTATTAGCCCCATTGGGAAAAACATCAAAAAAATAAGAGCCAGGAAACGGAACAAAACAAAAGCCCGGAACAAGATGCGGGAGGGGAAAGAAAAGATCAATTACCGTCCGGGGCCGGTTGATTTTTCCAGTGGCTCCCATGCTTCACCCACGTGACGCCCTTCCTCGCCTACTTCCTTATACTGTACTGGGTAGTTTAACTTCCGGGTAGGAGAGGCATAGAGAGAACCTCCGCTAGAAGGACCGCCCCCTCCTCAAGGCCACGCCCCTGATTCTTTGAAACAGCCAATCAGGGCAGGAGTTGTGGATGGGCTCCTCACTATTTCCCCCTCCTCCTGTACTACTTCTTTTTAAAAAATGACCACGAGGTGGCGCCCGAGAGCTCCAGGCTGAAATATAAATTGAGGAGGCGGAGGATTCCTCTTTCTTTTCTGCAAGGGAGGTGAGTAGCAAGGAGGGAAGGAGGCTGCCTGCCTGTGTTTAGTTGGCCTACAGAGGCTGGGGGTCAAATGGGATCCGCAGGGGCATTTGGGTCGGGTTTGTGCAGGTGGCCTGATCCTCTTTCCTATTTGCTAGGCTGGGGGAGCCTATATAGGGCAGGTGCAGGGGAGCCACGTGGCGGTTCTGGAGGCCTGTGCGCCTTAACGCGCCTCCATGTTGTCCATCCTCGCTTCCCCCGCGCTGCCTCTCGTGTCTCCCGCTTGCTCCTCGGCTCGTCCTGCGCGCCATAGCAGGGATCATAAGCCCCGCCGGAATTCAGCCATCGAGCCTTCCTGTCTCCTCCTCCTCCTGGGTAAACAAGCACCGGGGAAAGTTGTTTAATGAGCAGGTCGGGGGTCCGCCGGTGGATCTTTATATACGTGTATATGTAGTTTTTTATTAGTTTTCCATTTAGTGATATACAATCATAACATTATGACTTTATCTTTCTGGCTCTTCAGAGCCGGTCGACTTCCTTTCCTCCCGCCTCATGGCTTTCAAAGTCAACCTTTATATCCTTTTATACATTTCCCAGTTCTAATTTCACTCATTACGAAAAGACATTCAAGTTTTACTTAAAATAAAAAGGGAGAAGGGTTCTCATTACAAGCCTTAAGTCAATCCTGCTAGTGATGTTAATTGCTTACAATAATCTTTCAAACATTGTATAAATTAACTCCAGTCCTTTTGGAATAATTGATCTCACTGGTTTCAGATTTTTCCTGCCGCCGGTGGATCTCTAGGCTGCTTGGAATAGACCACCAAAGATTTGTGTTGTGTTTTTTTTTACAGTTGTGAGTTCTCCCGCCCTTCCTCTAAAACTGGGCTGCGGGAAGGAAGGAAGCCTGTGGGGTGGGAGGGAAATGGGGATGGATTTTTAATGTATTAGAATACAGTGGTACCTCTGGATGCAAATGGGATCTGTTCTGGAGCCCCATTCGCATCCTGAAGGCGAACGCAACCCGCTTCTGTGTGGGTCAAGATCATTCCATTTTTTTACAGGGCTTTCAACATAAGCTGCAGAATGTGCTTCATTTACCATAGATGCCACACGGACAATCACGTGTCCCTCTGTTAGGTGCTCTTGGGAAAGTTAATGGTCATATACTGTAGCATTGTATTCATTAACTTATTTCACAACTGTTTTTTGTAGGTGTACTTCTACGTGTCAAAATGCCAAAAAGAAAATGTAAATTTTCTGTTAAGCTACAGAAGAAGTATACCTGTTTTAGAAGAGGTAGAGATGATTTCGAAGGTGAATGCATGATATGTAAACCAGGTACGTTTGTTTCTGTGGCATGTAAAGGAGGACTCAACCTGCAATCGCATGTGGACTCCGAAAAACACAAAAGAGCAATTCAGGGAGAAGCTTCTTTCTTAACAGACTTTTTCGTAAAACCAGGTAGCAGTTTGGAAGATGAAGTAACCGCAGCAGAGGGAACTTTCGCTTTTCACACTGTTAAGCACCACAACAATTATAACATGATGGTGTGCACATCAGGCCCACTGAGGACCACGTTCCCAGATTACGATATTGCAAGGATATTTTCAAGTGCAAAAACCAAGACTGAGGCAATTGTAAATTCTGTCTTGGCACCTGATTGTTTAGAAAATGTTTTGAAAAGCATTGAAGAAAATGAAGTCGATTTTTGCGGAGTTTCTACTGGCGGGAGTGACCATGGTTCGGTAAAGGTGTTTCCGATAGTTATTCGATATTTTGACTGGAAAAGTGGTGGTTTGCAGTCCAAAATAATTGAAATGCAAAGCCAACCCAACGAGAGTGCAGATACAATCTCATCATACGTGAAGGAAACTCTTGATAGTAAAGGACTATTAAATAAATGTATAGCATTCACAGGTGACAACTGCAACACAATGTTTGGAGGGATGCCATGGGATTCAGAAGGAAGAGATGTGTTTGCAAAGTTGAAGAATGAGCTAGATAACAAAACTTTAATTGGTGTGGAATGTCCAGCACACATTTTGAATAACTGCGTACAGCAGGCAGCAGAAACGTTGGACCTCGATGTTGAGGGCATCCTTTTCAGGATATACCAGTACTTTCATATCTATAGAGTCCGAACAGGGCAGTTAAAGGAGTACTGTGAATTTGTGGACATTGAATACAAACAGCTGCTATCGCATAACAAAACAAGGTGGTTGTCATTATTTCCAAGTATCGCTAGACTCATTCACCTGTTTCCAGCTGTCAAGGCGTTTTTCCTCTCGCAGAATAAACCACCAACAGTGTTAAAAAACTTTTTTGAACATGAGTTCAGTGACGTTTATTTATTGCACTTGCAGTCTCTCATGAGTATCTTTCACTCAAATATTTTGGAACTTGAAAGGGAAAATAATTCAGTTGTAGAGGTTCTGAAAGTTCTGCTTTGTGTTCATAACATGCTTACTGAACGTAAGAGGAACAACTTTATGTGCCTCAAAGTTAAGAGCCTCCTAGCAGAAAAGCGTAAGCATGGTCTTAGTGCGGAGTGTGACAAATTCTGTGCAGAAGTAAATAGCTTATACGACAGGTGCATAGAATATCTGGAAAAATGGATGGAGCCCATGAAGGAGTTTTCATGCTTCATGTGGATGTCTCTTAGTGAGTCACTAGAGTGGGACAAGGTAGAATCTTCCATGAAATTTCTCCTGGACAGGCATGTGTCCATAGATTATGGAAAGTGCTTTGATCAATTCTTCAACCTCAGGAAGTTTGTAAATCAATACAAAGGTGATGATGAATTCATTAATCTACAGGCGCATCAGAAGTGGGCCAAGTACTTTGAGACTTCCGAAAACATGTGCCAGTCAGAACTTCTGAAAATTGCACAGTTTTTTTTTGCTATTGTACCACATAATGCGAATGTGGAACGCATCTTCTCTCTGATGCAAAGTCAGTGGAGCAAAGAAGGAGGCAACTTACCTTTTGAATCACTGCGAAGTATATTGCTAGTACAATATAATTATGAGCACTTTACTTGCAAGGAATTTCATGCCTATCTCTTAAGCAATAAGCAATTGTTGAACAAGATCAGATCTACAGAGAAATAGGCTTAGGCCAGACAGTGTCAGAAAGAAGAATAAAGTGCATCTGAAAGTGACATAAAGGTATTGGTTTATATTTGTACCGATACATGAGTTTAAATTGTTATTATTTTGTTGTTGAAAGTTAAGAGCATTAGTACTAGCAATATATCACAGGTTCTATAGCCTACATATAGTAGGGGTGTTTAAAATTAGACCTGCCATAGTGATCCGTAGTTAAAAGTAAAAGTCTGCAAATGTGTCCCCTTTTTTGTTCAAAATGTGACAACCCTACTTTATTAACACTTCACGTTATGAGAACACTGCTTTCAAGCATTTCACATGGTGCATCTAGCTATAAAGATATGGGGAACCTCTAGCCCTCCAGATCTTGCTGAACTTCCAACTCCCATCTGCACCAGCAAGCATGACTAGGGATTATGGGAGTTGTAGTTCAGCAAGATCTGGAGAGCCACCTGTTTATACAGTGGTGCCCCGCAAGACGAAAAACTCGCTAGACGAAAGGGTTTTCCGTTTTTTTAGTCGTTCCGCAAGACGAATTTCCCTATGGGCTTGCTTCGCAAGACGAAACGTCTTGCGAGTTTTTTTCTTTTTTCTTATAGCCGCTAATAGCCGTGCTTCGCAAGACGAAAAAACCGCAAGACAAAGAGACTCGCGGAACGGATTAATTTCGTCTTGCGAGGCACCACTGTACTTTTTGTTAGGACTGCATCTCCCATCAGGCCCCAGGCCGATATTGTCATAGATTATAGGAGTTGCAAAGCCGCATTGGCTACTCTTGATCTCTTTATATGGCTTATAAAGAGGGTGTTTTGCTTACTGCTTAACTGTGTAGCGGCTACAAAGGTGGTGGGGGTTCACTTCAGTCCAGCTCCTCCTTTTCTTGGCAGGCCCGGGTCTCCCAGTGCCCGGCTCTGTAATGTCCGGAGGTACAGGAATGCCCACCCAGTGTTCTGTCTTCGGTGCCAGCGGCTTTGCCATCTGCTGGTTCTATCCTCAAGCACTGGGACAGAAGGCATGTTGGATCAGGTACAAACTATACCTGTCAAGGCTCTACCACAGCCATCTCCAACATGGTGCCCATTCAGACAAGGGACGACTACAGCCCCTTCTCAGCCCAGGCCTTTGGCCATCCTGGTTAGAGCCGGTGGAAATGGGGGGGGCACCTGTGGCTGGTTGTAACAGCTAGAGCAGGCATAGGCAAACTCGGCCCTCCAGATGCTTTGGGACTACAACTCCCATCATCCCTAGCTAACAGGACCAGTGGTCAGGGATGATGGGAATTGTAGTCCAAAACATCTGGAGGGCTGAGTTTACCTATGCCTGAGCTAGAGCCTGTAGAGAGGGGGCCATTTTGTGTGTGGGGAGAAACCCTTAAGCATATTTTCTCCTTTTTCTCCACAGGGCTTTTTAAGACTTCTGCAGAGATGTGGAACTGAAGGCGCAAGACTATTCAAGCTGCTAAAGGCTACTGTAGAAGAATGCATTGGTGCCCAAGGGTCTTAAAGGCTGGGCCCCCGAATCTGGACAGGAGGTTTAGCAGGCCAGGTGCCAGCACACAGCCCTACTGGGCACTCACTATAGGCCTCAGGGATTAGAAGAGTCCCTAGTTCCCTAATTGGCTTGACCTGCCATGCCGTTTCTCAGAGCCTGGAAGTGGCAGAGAAGCCCTTGATCCCGATGGTGCCAAAAAT